ATTTAGAATGTAAAAAGAGATCCTCAGATAATCAAAGCATGTATGTCAATTACTAATTACTAACTTTACATAACCAAAATATAATGGATTCTCATATGCATGTTAATATTCCAGTTTGAGCTTTTGTCAAGAAAATTACTTATATTTGTTAATATAAGAAACCTTAAATTAGAAAACTTATAGCATATTGCTTTTGAAGTTATAGTTAGAAAGAATGTTGCAATCCGACTTGGTGATTACAGAAGGATCTGTCTGGATCCTGAATGTTTCTGTAAAAACTCAAAGTATGTACTTTTGAGATAAGTGGTTATTAAAGAGTTTTCATACTATATGGGGGATTTGTCTGCAGCACAACCAGCACATTTGTTTTAAACAAACACAGACTTTATTGGCTGACACTGTCTCTATCTTGTCCAGCCTCCTGCTTATCCTCTCAAAGTAATTAATGTGATTAATTTACAAGTAATTTAGCCAAGAAGAGGATGTAAATCTTTCCTTAAAAAAACAGTTAGAAGTCCAAGTCTTAGTTAAAAACTGTGTCTTGAAACCATCCAGACCCTCCTACTAACTTGTCAGCTTTAGGTTATTTTCAGAAAACTTGAGTTGAGTTGCTGCAACTTATTTGTACGGTTTTTTTCCCACAGATTTTTTTGGGTATGTGAAAGTGGGAGAGTGAATAGTCGCTGCTATTTAGCCATTGTTTAGTCTAGTGTATGTATGTTTACATCTTCCCTCTGGATGTATAAGCTGCTATGAAAAAATAAAGATCATTTTCAATTGATTGAAGAATTTCTTAACTATGGCACCTGGTAGCATGCAAGAATTGTTTTCTGGACTGTTTTTTTAATATTAGTAATTTATTATGTGTTTGATTTGTTGTTGACATACAGTCTAGAATCCAAATGAGACACAATTGAGATAACATTAAATATCTTACTTTGTAAATTTGTAAATTTACTGCTAGTTAAATAGAAAACATTAGAAATATAACAGAAGTATAACTAAAATATTATTCTGCTTCTTTCTAAGAAATAAAGAAGTAGTATCTTGTTAGTGTACAGGTTTTCCTTTATTCTAACAATAGGGTAATGGAGGGAGAATGTGTGTTGTTTAGGTATTCAAGTGAAACTTGTGATTACAAGACTTCTTTTCTCTGTTTAGTCCTTTTGCAACTGATATATGCCGTTATTGAAAGAGTTTTTCTGTAATATTTTCTGCCAGGATGAAACATGTTGTTGTAATGAGAAGTCTGTGTTTAAATATGTATAACACCATGCTTCTGCTATCAAAGAAGCTATCTGGTGTTTCTGGTATTTCTACAGACATATGTTGATAATGCCACTCAACAGTCTCATATCAACAGTTATTTCCATTCTTCAAGTTCCATTCTTCAGGTAATGAAAATGAAAATAATTTCTTAGTCTTTTAAGAATTGCAGAAGGATCATGGATTATAGTTCTTCAGGGTTATAAATATTAGTGGAAGATCAGGTGAGGAGTACAGCAAGGTTCTCAATGAAGGGCAAGATATCTCTGGAAAGATTCTAGATCAGATCTGATAGCCTTTGCATGTTTGTCTAAAATGTTATTGAAACAGCAAGTTTTAGAAAATTAGCATAGTCAATAACTATTTTCTGTCAATATGTGATTAATGAACGGGTATTTTTAAAATTGTATTTATTTATTTATTTATATCCTGCTTTTATTATTTTTATAATAACTCAAGACAGTAAACATACCTAATACTTCTTCTTCCTCTTATTTTCCTAACAACAACCCAGTGAAGTGAATTGACTTAGAGCAGGGGTAGGCAACCTCGGCTCTTTTATGACTCGTGGACTTCAACTCCCAGAATTCCTGAGTCAGCATAGCTGACTCAGGAATTCTGGGAGTTGAAGTCCACGAGTCATAAAAGAGCTGAGGTTGCCTACCCCTGACTTAGAGTGACTGATTGACTCAAAGTCACTCAGCTTACCTTAGTTTTCATGACTAAGGTAAGACTAGAATTCACGGTCTCCTGGTTTCAGGCCTGGTGCCTTAACCATCAGAGCAAACTGGCTGTCATGAGATCACTGAAATGGCTTTTAAGAAGTCATTAGTTTGAGCACTAATGTGTGTATAAATACACTGCACATATAAGCGCGTACTCAAAATGAGGAAGGGAAACCCTTTGTTTCTTTGTTTCGTGTTCAAAACAAAATAGCCTCATTTAGAATATTCCAATTGGACACCATTCTAACATAGGATACAGTGGCAATTTGCCACAAGATTTTTCCTTTTTTTTTCTTAGGTTCTCAAAAATAGATAAGGTGGTAGTCCATATCTGACATCCCCTTACAGAAAATTGGCCCAAAGACCAACTTTTTTAAAAAAAAAAACACCTCATAATTCAAATACAAAATATTTTAATATTTTTACTCCCATTTTGCAAACAATTTGAAGAGATTAATATTCATTGTTACAGTTGCCTGAACGAAGAATCTGAACCTAGCAAAGAAACAATAGGCATGGATTCACTTCAAGAAAACCTTAAACAACACAACAGAAAAGTACACTTCCTTGGTTGTTGATTTGAGGTTTTTCCTAATACACATAGAATTACAATGGACATTTTTTTATATTTGGAAGCCTCCTTGCCAGATTAACAGACAAAGCAACATTATTTTTATACTGTGCAGATCGAAAGTTGAATATCGTAAGGGCGCTTTTTTGCATTTGACAATGGAAACAAAAGCCTAGCATACATAAAATGACAATAATATTATGTAATAGCCTATGAAGTCTAATTTCCCCATACAGGAACTTTAAAAGCAGCAATAAATATATACCCAGGAATGCTTAGTAGTTGCTCAATGTTTACTAATTAACTTTTTGCTTAACTCACATTCCCTTGAGCAGTCTGCCTCAACTAATATTGGATGGTGCACATTCTAAATCTCTATGAAATAGTATTTTTTTAAAAAGCTAGTTGCAAGATATTAAAACAATTGAAATGGCAACAAACTAGCCTGCTTTTGTCCCAAGAGAGAACACAGAGATATGTTTTGTCCAAGCTTGAAATAAAATAGCCTTTCTATACTTTGAATGCTTTGTACATCCTTACCATAAATATGTGGGAAAAATAAACCATATGCGCTTCTGCAGTTAGATTGTTAAGACCTTCATTATTGATAATCTTATTATGGAAATGTATACATTGCTGTTTAGAGCAAATTTGAAGTGCATTTCAAGTACTTTGAATTGTTGTCCATATAATTATGACACTTGGCTAATGTGGCTGTAAACTTTCAAAAATACCCGGAAGGGGAACGAAAGTTGTACAGGCAGACTGGAATCACGGAGATGGTTGGTGCAGTTTTCAGTTATTTAAATAGTCATTAAAACAAATATGGGGTGTTTGTTTTCTGTAGTACATTGTGTGAAACGAAGGTATCTGGAAAAAAAACTCTGCTGTAATGGCTCTCACTTCAGTACCAAACATGGATAAAAAATCTTTTCAACCAAAAATCTGTCTTACAGACAGTTCATTCTTTTTATAAACCTCTACTCTAATCATCATAAATCATCTACTTCAGACATAGTCTGGGAAGTTTAGAATGATTTGGATCCTACAGTCCTATCAGACATGTAGAACTTTAAAGTTGAAAGCTGGCTAATTACTTTTGCTGTTTTAACAAGAATGTAGCATGTGCCTAATATCATGTATCACATGCTTTCTAAGAAAATTATTTTAATCCTTATAAGGACTTAAAGCACAGGCAATTTGTATTTGGCTGAGACATAATATCTCAGATATAAAAAACAAAATTTTGTTTGGATTATTGAAAGAAAGAAGACCAGTACATGTTTTTAATCCAAAACCAGATACTCTGTAATGATTTCAGCATTGCAAAACTATTCAGTATTAAATCCTATTGAGTTCAATTGAATTTGCTTCCATTAATGTATCCATAAGTCTGCAGCCAACCTCTGTGTGCGTATGTGTGTGTGTTGTGTACCAGATAACCCATGACCTGTTAGATCATCGTTCCAGAGACATTTCCTTACAGATTCCCCAGTTTCCTTCAACATTGACAGGGCTTCTAATGTACTTGAAAAGTTCTTAAACATTCAGAGAGATTTTTGGAGATGTATCTGCCTTGAAAGTAGTCCATGTTGAACACTTATAGCAGATTCAAACATCAAGAGTTTTATGTTTTATGACACTTTTTACATTATGGCATAAAATACTTTATGATAATTTTTACGTCATGAACTTCTTCAAAATAAAATTTGCCACATTTCAATTCCACAGGAGACAGAGGCCCTAGATTTTGGGCACACTATGTAAGGTAGCTCATTTGAGGTATCTTGGTTGAAAAAGTTTTGCCCTATGATGCATGAGTTTAAAAGTTACAGCTATGAAAATTTTAGTAGATTATAGAAAATTTCATCCAACTTGTATTTCATTACAAGTAGTCTTCATGTAGCGACTACAATTGGTGCAAGCAATTTGGTCATTGCTGTCACTAAGTGAAACTACTACTATGCTTATGATCTTTATCATTCCTTTTTCATCACCACATAACTGTGATGGGTCACTAAACCAGGCTATCACTAATTAAGGGCTATCTGTATATTCTTTCTTATGTTACCAGTTCTGCATCATTATCATCATCATCATCATAAGGACATAAATCTACCTAGTTTATTTCCTTCATCCTTTTCCTTGGGGATTTAGGAAAATTTTAATATGCTATTTTAAAGTATGTTATATACTTTTTCCAGAAGTGGTGTGTATTCCTATGAGAGACATAATTATATGGGCTGTATAATTAATCAAACTATTGGGATGGTACATGCTTAAAAAAACATTTGTAGCTTATGATGTTTTAATGCATAGGCAACTGAAGGGGCAATCACTGAACAATGAAGTATAGGCCACCTCTGTTTTAATCTTTTTTGCTGCCCAGAGATATGGACGAGTGGGTGCCCCTAGAAATTAATTAAATTAATCATCATTTATTTCAACTTTGAAATAATTTAGTAAAAGGGGAGAAATGTACAAATACATGGGTTTTAAGTCTCTTTCTATGGTATCCCTATTTCTGTACGTAACTCATGTAAATGGTTTCAGCATTTTTTAAATACAAATGTAGATGGTGGTTTTTTATGACGCTTGCTAAGTGCTCCCTTATGGTCTTCTCACTTGCCTATGCACAAACCAAATCCACAGTTCCTGATTAAATAAGATAAGCTGTCAAATACGGTGGAAATATTTCTGTAAAATTTAAATGTAGTTGGCTTTTCCTTAGCGTGAGCAAGAGAACGCTATGGTCCGTCTTAAAAAGCAGCAACAAGAACTTGAACACATGAGACTTCGGTACCTTGCAGCAGAAGAGAAAGAATTAGGGAAGACACAGCGGCAAGAGCTAGAGGATATCAGAAATGAGCTGAACAGGTATTGTACCATTTGCTGGATTTTTACTTCTGCTGCTGAATAGGTGAAGGTTCAGCTAAGTTAAATTTAATTGGCTGTCAGTCCTGTAAAAGAACACAGCTTTCTGTCCCTTAGGTAATATTTGACCATTTATAAAATGTAGCAACCATGTTTTATAGGAAATCTATGCCAAAGGCCACCAGACCTAGTTTTTTATCTTGACTGTAGCAAATAATACAGCAAGATATTTTTTTTTACCTCCTGTTCTAAGCAAATCTGTTTGCTGCATAATAAAAGACATATTAATAGTTCTCTCATCTCTCATGAGCATAACACTTTCTATTTTAAATGGCTGAGTACTTCCAATACCTTTAAATGATCTACTTTTGAATGTTTTCCGACAGTTTAATTCTTAATAAAGATCACTCAAATTTATACACTTGAGAAAAGCACTTGTGTCTTCCAGCAGAGGGCTTATGCAATCTAATTAGCATTGAGACTCTTCTAATTAGATAATAATGTCTGTTTCTTTTCATTTTGACTTTTCAGTAGAAAGCTGGCTCTGAAAAAGCAAAAGACCAGAATGTAGACTAGTACAACTCAGTGTATTTTTCCTTTTAGATTGAAACAAGAAGAAGACAAGAAAAAGTCACAAGATGCCCAAGAGTTATTGGGAGTCCAACTGCAAAATTCTCACACTGGGAAAGGAGATGAGGCTTTGGATGACTACCTTGCACGTCTAATAGAGGAGAGGGATACCTTGTTGAGAACAGGTGTATATAATCATGAAGATCACATCGTAAGTGAGCTTGATCGTCAAATCAGTGAAGTGCTTGCAAAAAGAAATAGAAGCAAGTAGCAGGATTCAAGAGAATTAGTCATATATATTTTTTACTTCCAAGATTCAGGTTTTAACAAATGATAGATTGAATCAGCTTTTTGAAGGATTTGTATATATACTCCTCTGTCTCCCAAGACTTACTGCTATACTAGAACATCACTACACTACTTCTAAGAAATGGGAAGAAACATTGACTACTTCAATTATTTTATTACTTTTTTTACCTATTTATTTTTGTCAATTGGTCAGTACTGCAAAAGCTTTCATTTACACAGTGGAAATATTTCTTGTCAGAATTTATTGCTTGCTTATTTTATTACATGCCTGCTTTTTTAAAGAAATTTCAATAAAACTGCATTTAGGAAAATGTCCTACAGTAATTTGTAGTAACTTTTAAGCAAAATTGAGATTACACCTCACCTTGACATTTTAATACTTTTCCTTATGTGATAGATTTTCCTTTAAACAAACTACTTTACTTATTCAGATGATGAATTGTTTAACAACAAGTTGTACAAATAGGCTCTTATTTAGGTTGAAAAGCACAATTCTTACTGACAAGTAGCTGAATCCTAAGCAAGTTATTTTAAACTCACAATTCATTTAAGATCCATCAAGCAATGGCACCTGGTTTAACTGGGCCACATTTGTAGTGAAGGAAATGGTGGAAGAGTATTTGGAAAATTTGGTAGCAGATAGCCATGCTTTTAAATGCATTCCTCTGATCTGTAAAAGGAGATGGCTTACTTAATATTACATCCACTTTGCATATCAAATAGTTGTCAGGATAGATTAATGTTTTCCTTACACCAATATTATTGTCATCCATATATTAAAATTTATACGGAATTAAGTGAGGGGTTATCTGTATATCTGGAAGCTATTGCCTATATCAGTTGTCCAATCTAACACTAAGCAAGCACACAGTTGTTTAGATATTACTAGGCCTGCATCTTGCTGCACAGTGATTTTACATGTGTAGGATTGTTCAAGACAGATTTTGCGATATAAATAATCCAGCATATCAGGCTATGGCTCCGTGCTTAAAATTAGAAAATAAAATGTTTAATTCAACGGTGTAATTATCCATCTATTGGATTTAATTATTTAATTAAATTTAATTATTAAATATCCATCTCTTAAAGGATATTTTAAAAGATGTTAGTAACTTGGGCTATACTCAAAATAATTTATCTCCTATGTGATATGTAATAGACACACAAACACATGCATTCTAATCCTAATTCTCACTTTATCGTGATTACCGGGTTTTATTTATATTGTTTTATTGATTTTCCTGCTTGATCATTGTGAGAGGCCCAAAGTCATTGAAAGTTGAGCAACATACAAATTGAATAATATTATATTCACCACCAAGTAAAAAGTAACAATGGAAGAAAGCTTCAACATAGAATTGATTTTTGACTCAAAATCATATCATGCAGTTTCTGCCTGACTTAGCTATATCAACTTTGGTGATGCATAATTCTCAGCAATATGTTCAGTGTGTGCTTTTTATGGATGGAGCTTCAAATGTGCATGTGAAGTATGGGATTGTTTTATTGTATGGTTTGGATGGGAATCTGCATCCTAAACCTTTAATAGATACTAGCCTGAATGTTTCCAGGCCAGAACATTTCCTTTATGCATACAACTGAAAACATTCAGCGGGGATTTTTCCCTGAATAAGGAACTTAGTTTATCTTTTATTTTATATCCATAGTTTAAAATGACTGAGGCTGCAGCATAGTCTTAATCAGGTTGGTGCCAGAAATGATAGAATTCCAGATGTGATGATGGGCAGAAAGAAAATGGGAAAACATCATTATCACCTAAACGCTGGACAGTGTGTCTTCAATAATAGGCCCCTTTCCTTTTCCCGTCTCTTATCTAATGAGGAACTCAAAATAACTTAAAAAATTTGTGACTTTAAATGTTGTAATATGAACACTGGAGTGTTTTTTTTCCTGATGATAGAATTTTAATTTTTTTTCCATAAACTTAAAATGTTTACATTCAGTATTGAATATATGAAAGTAACATGAAAGTTTAAAAAATTGGTTTTAAAATGGATTTTTTAAAGTAAAATGTATACTACTACATGCTGGTGATAAACTCAATTTTTCAGTATTTTGAGACAAAATACACACACTTGTATTTTCCACACATATTCTGTTAGAATAGTTTCATTACACTTCAAATCTCACTTCTACACCAAAAACCATATATTTTATGCTATTTGTGGCTTTGTTTGTATTATAGGGTTTTAAAAGGTATTTTAAAATGTATTTCCATTGTAAATCTATTCACACTGTAAGCAACTACATTTGTGCTGATTATCCTTTTAAAGGACTGAAACAGGAAGACATTTTTTCTTCAAGTTAATTTTCATTAACTATACTATTTGCATTTAAAGATTTTGTAATGTTGGACAGTTTACTGCTATATGTGATATATTTGCAATAAATCGCATTCATAATTATCATCCTAGAATTTAAATAATGCAACAGTGAGCAATTATAATTTGTAAATAATTTAATTTATTGCATCGTTAACATGTCATAAAAGAAAATGCCAATAAACCTGAAATATTCTTTTAAGTTTCATGCAGTTAAATTGTATAGGTCTAAAATGTAAATCAAACATTGAGTTTGCAACTAACTCTCAAACACTAGAGGGGGCCTTAACATTAAATAAAGGGCCTTTTTTCAATCTAAAATGTATTTTAAGGTTTGGTGAGCATGAATTCAACACAAACCTTGGAATATGTATTATTTAACTCCTTTTAAAATAGCATTAAACACAATTTCACACACATTCCTTTAAAGATAAACTATACAAATGGAATCCACTACACTTTCTAAGTATCTCCTTATGCATATCTGTGAAGCTTATGCAGCACTTGATGCTTTGCAGCTCCAAAGATGGCTTTTCACAAGGAATCAGATAGCAAATCAACTTTAACAGTTACCACAGAGGAGAAAGTGAGCTAGCGTCTATTGGTCTCCAATTTTTCTCCACAAACAGATGATGAATATGGATATATTTGGCTTCATTGTTAATTTTTCTTTGGTCTAGAAGAGATCCCTATCTGTGCAGAATGGAGCATTATTTAACACTTGCAACATTCCACTTCCACTGGAAGGTTTTGACACTTCTTAATAGTCTTTAGGAGAGCCAGTTTGGTGTATTGGTTAAGACATCATGATGGAAATCAGCAGACCATGGGTTCTAGTCCCATCTTAGTTACAAAGCCAGCTGCTTAACCTTGGCTTAGTCTCTTTCTCTCAGCCCTAGTAAGAAGGCAAAAGCAAAGCACTTCTGAAAAATATTGCCAAGAAATCTGCAGGGACTTATCCAGGCAGTCTGCTGAGAACGGGACACAATTAAACAGAAGGAAGCAAAAAGTCTGTAATGAAACAATAATTATTTATGAATATGTTCTTACTATTTATAACATTGCTTTACATCCTTTATTGACTTAATTTTCATTCCAAATAGCAAAACATCACCTTAACTTATTGTTAACAGCTACACACATAGATAAATAGTAAGAGAAATTAAACAGTATAAATAGAGGCAATAGAATCTATTTAAAAAAATGTATTCTAGAGTAGTCAAATAAATCCCTGCTTAAAGTATAATTATTTGATTATATGTGTTGATTCAAATAATGTCCATTCCTTAGCAGAAGACATTGCTGGCAAAATAATTTAGACTTCATTTTATTTTGCTACTGCTGTTTCGAAATAATCATGACCTATCTTTAGAATGGGAAGTCCCAAACATGCAATTGTTCAGGGAAAACCTAGAAAATGACGGCTCCATGTGCTTAGATCTTATTTCATTTACTTCTCTGGAGGCTTGCATTTCTGTTTTCATTAGAAATGTTTTTACAGATGTTGGCTCTGCAGATATGAACTCTCTGGTGGAGAGGTGGTCGGATATTTGGCATCTAGAACAAAAAAGAAAAGAAATCAGCTCTGAAAGCCTAATATAGAGAGAAATAATTTACTGTCTTTATGATGTATAAATGTATAACAGCTCTACAGAGGCTTTAAGGCTGAGTAATTGAATTTGAGCTAATACAGAAATATTTGCAATTAGTCTTTTAGAATGAAATATATCATTCATCATGATAAAGGACTAAAAAAGCAGCCATAAATAACACTTCTGGAAAAATTGTGCCCACTAATTTATATTATTTTCCTTTTCATGTGAAATAATTATATTAATCTGGCTATATATCTAATAGTGTCTAGTGCTTTGGCCTATGTTACCAATGTGACGATATTCATGTATATCAAATATTTGAACCCAAGGTACACATCATTGAGGAGAATATCTTTTTTGTGGCAACATTTAATTTTACTCAATAATCAAACTGGAACAAACATCTCAAACAGTGATGGCATTCAGACTAATTTGAGCTGCAGCAAAAAGCATATTTTGAAAGGCTTTACACAGGAGGATTTTGACTTTTCTGTATTCTGTGAAGTGATGACATCTATTATTCAAATTTCACTTGTCTTATTTCTAACTGAAGCAGAAAACTTACATTTGCTTTGGATAGAATAATGTTTACAATTTCAGATTCCAAAACTATTAGTGTTACCCAATATTGTGTGAACATACTAACTTACCATCAGCATTCCAACTCTCTGGAGCCAATTTGTAATTAGGGGAAGTTTCAGAGATGAGAAGATGGAATCTATATACCAACAGGGTCACTTCCACTGGCCAACAGAAACTGAATTTTATTGCTTAAAATAATAAAAATGAGTTAAATATAACTCTTAAAAACATATCCATACTATTGTCATGGTACTTTTATGGAAGTGACTTGTTATTGACTTCTGCTAAGACAATTTTCAACATCCTTGTCTACCAACAACTATGGAATTCTTATGTCTTAACTATATACCATACTTAAACAGAAGCATGATTATAGTTTTATTCCCTATTTTTGCTTATTTGGGATTGTGCAAGGATTGCTTAATATGTTTGTGGCCAGATCTTCAGCTAAGATCATCCCAATTTGTTTCTGATTCTGGTATTCTCTGCCTTTCCAGAATCTAATATGCAAAATGTAAATGTTTAAAAGCTTCTATAACTTTATTAAAAGAGGATGAGGTTTTCAGGAAAGTTAGAGATGGGCTGATTATCTGATCAATAATTCTATGTAAAAAAAATTTAAACTGCACAATCATTTGACCATAGCATGTACTTCTATAAGACTCTCAGTAGTCCAACATGAGGATATACTGTATGTAGGGACTTGGACAATCCCTTGAGGGTCAGTGCCTAAT